ACTTTCCATCCCTTTCTCTCCTTTTTGAGCAGGTAGCATGCGTCCAGAACCGGGTATAAATGTATGGAGGCAGCCGCTAATACGCTCTGCTTTTTATTATTACTTTGGCACATTTGTGCATTCGACTATTATAAGCACAAACTGGTATTCCTGAAATGAACACCTCCAAGCCTTATGTATGTCATTATTGCGAGCTGACACTTCACGACCCTCAGCTCTTTTACAGCCACAAGCTGATATGTGTGCCAATCGCTAAAATGAAAGGCAAATCAATTCTCGAGGCTGACCAATTTTATTTGCTCAACTTAAGCGACATGAGCAAACACCTTCATGGCACTCAACAATAGAACATGCAGTTAGTAGGCATATCAGTTTACAATATAAAAGTGTTGTATTAGAATCCCCAAATTAGACAATACTTGTTTCCACAATAATATAAATCAGAGCAATAAACATGGCGTGGATTCTTATTAATTAGTTACCTTTATTGTACAATGCCGTCGTTGCAAATGCCAAGACCACAATAGACATGTTATTCCAAATATCTACAATTGTAGCCAATAGGTATATAAAGGAAGCAGCGCCTGTTGCATTTCACAATTCATTTTATTTCGACAAACTTTTATTTTCTCTCTTCTACAAGTTGTAATGAGCGAACTCAGCTCCCTCAGGTGCTTTTACTGTAAACTAGTGTTTAATAAGGCGTGCGATCTTCTCACCCACAAGACTGTCTGCGTCCCTAAATCTTATGGACTCGGCGTTCCTATTCTTATAGAAGATATGGTGTTTGTAAATCAACCCAAAGTATGATAGTGCTGCTGACTATTGCACACGATCGCTTTTTGGCAACCAGCACTATTTGTAAGCGCATGGCAAGCGCATAATGGCCCAATTTACTTGACGGATTTACAATTGCCTATCTCCAATATTAGTATCTATCACAAAGATAGATGGTTATCTGCAACATGTCCCGCATCAAACCCCACTATTGTATTGCTCCTGCCATGGCAAGAAATGCTATAAAAGTTGAACAAATCCTGCGGAATCGGCAAGACTCTGACAAACGCCACAAATATATATGCCATATTTTTTTTACTTTGACCGCAACCAACTCCTGATTGTTCCGCATCAATAAAGCAGCAACAGCATATCGGTACAATGCCATTCAAGTGTGGTTACTGTGACGCCTTGTTTGACATTTTTGATTTGTATGTTTGGCATAAACGCTTATGCAAAAAGGCGCCCTCCAAGCTAGGAGAGGCAAATCAAAAAGTGTACAACATGTAGTTGACATCCTTTGGAGGATGACTTTGGGCGGGCATCAGCGAGGCTGCAGGCCAGCTCAAAAACTTTTCCTGCATGACAAGCAACGCCACTTTTTTCTCGACGGATGACGCGGCCTACCCTTTTGATGCCATTAGACGTCTTGAGGACAGTGGTCACTTTTTTTGCTTCTCTTCCTGCCATCTTTTTTTTCTACAAATTATTTGTTATAAAATACTTTGTGTCAACACCATCGTAAAATGAAGCATTGCGCCGACTACAGACTTTACTCGCAGAGCGTAAGGGAGCTGCGGTGTCCTTTCTGTAATGCAGTTGTCAGCAGCTATATGGAGTACTTTGACCATGCTAGCGTCTGCACTCGCAGGCCGTGGTGTTAAGCCTGAAACTAAGTAGCATCTACCGCATACCGGTTGATAGTAAACCAATATCCATGAAATTTTCAGAGAGAATGACGGCAAATAAAAAAGCAGTGGATGATTGTGCAATCAGTGAGATCTTAGCAAGAGAAGAGCAAATATATATTATAATGGAAAGTAGAAGAAAATAAGCGTTAGAATTAGCCAAACTTATAATAGGTATATGCCAGAGGGACTATGTACTTTAGAAGCAAGCAATAGGGGGCTGTTGTCGCTTGTCGCTCGTCGATTTGCATAGGATGAGCGCACAAGTGGCTAAGACACAAAAACCAAGATTCTCAAGAAGCAGAGTTAGCTCAGAAATTCGAGAGCATCTCAGCAATTCGGGGGCTTTAGCTCAGTGGGAGAGCACACGACTGAAGATCGTTAGGTCCCGTGTTCGATCCACGGAAGCCCCA